GTCGTTGGCCAACATTTTTTTTAAAAATATTTTTTATACTATAAATACCCCCTTATTTTAAAGACAAAATACAAAGACAACATATTCTCATACACTCTATAATTCCTCCAAAATATATTCTATTTCTTTTAATTTTCTCTACAAAATACCCAAAAAATAGGATCACCTTCATCAGATGATGAAAGACGAGCTCTCACTTTTAGTTGTTTCGCGACAGGATGTTACCAATGGTGGCAACAAGCACAACAAGATGAAGCCAAATTGTCCCAACGCTCCACCCACCGTGAGCGTTTAAATTGTGATTGAGCGGCTCCACACGAAGCACTACACAACAACTACTTTAATACTCCTTGTGTTTACACACCAGAGGATTTTAGTAATCGTTTTCGGATGAGCCATTCATTTTTTAATGCATACTATCCGTGTAACACCCTCCGTCCCGCGAACCCGGTTCACCGCGGCCCCACGAGCCGGAGAGGTTACGTAGACGGTTTTAAGGCCGTCTACAAGGAAAACCTTTGCGTTGCTTGTAACTGAAAATCTCTTGATATATTTTATTAAATGATGAAATTAAATTCACTTAAAAGAAACGTTTTATAGCGGAAGCAATGTAATCATTTAACGTTAAGTCATAAATAAAGTTAGTGCAACAACGGTGGGTTCATGCCCAAAACGTTTTGAATATTAAATAAATAATTAATTCAGCCCGCACTGTCGTTCATCCGCCACCCCATTCACCCAATCATCCGGGTCAGGCTCCAAGATCCTCTCGCCTACCTGCGTATAGCAAAGGGAAACAACGCTATACGCTCAGCAAAAGCTGAGTGGTAATCTAACGGTAGAACGCATAGTACACTCACATTGATATAAACATAATCGTACATGTACTAAGTACGGGATACCACATACAAGTTTGATAAACAAGATGAATAATGATAAACGTTACAAAATATGGAGTAATGCGATGCCATATAATCCATGATGCATGAGTTAGACTGCGCAGGGACGCCCCTCCCTTCGGTGATCATCACCACGCGGTAGATGAGCCGAGGAATGCCTTAGTCTCCGGAAGGAGCCTAGAATGTGGATGATAGCTAAGCCTAGCTACCATGTACGTACACAAGCCCTCCTGATGAAACCCGTTGGATCCCGAAGGTTCCTGGACGGGCCCGCGAAAGAGGCGCACTAGGCCTGACCTATTGTCGCGGTATGTGAAACCCGTTGGATCCCGAAGGTTCCTGGACAGGCCCAAGGAAGAGGCGCACTGGGCCTGACCTCTTGTCGTGGTAGGAAAAGTATGCCATATCCTAAACATGCGTCTAGGATGTACGTGATGAAATGAATGCATTGCTTGATGAATGAGATTGAGTCCAACACATACATATAAGTTTGATTCCGTATGAAAACGATCTGTTCAACATGATGGCCCTGGGTTCAGAGCTGGCTGATAATCGATATCTGTTGGTGATAATCGATTATCTAGCATGGCAGTTCCTTTCCCAAGGTTCTGCAGCCCCTGATAGTCGATTATCACAAGGTGATAATCGATTGTCAGGCCGGATTCTAAAACAAAGTCCTGAAATGTCTGTTATTCGATTTACACCTCTAGGTAATCGATTATCAGGCGGAATCCATTCTGTGCTTAAGGTTCAGCGAGGGCTGCTAGTCGATTATTCCATTGTGATAATCGATTGTCAACCTCTGCTACAGAATTGGGAGTTTCAGCATGGCCAGATAATCGATTATCATGTCCTGATAATCGATTATCAAAGCTCGCTAATTCATAGTTTTTGTCTGTTCAATTGCTACCCTTTCGTTGGAAATTTGAAATAACGTTTTATGCTTACATGATAAGTAATCTATAAATTTACAGGGTTTTCACAACGTTTATATTAGCGAAAACATAATCGTAAGGTCCAAATAACAAAGAGTCATGATAACGTGGACACACGTATGTTTAGCCGGTTAATCTTATGAATATAACGATATGATTGAACTACGAATTCTAAAGTTAGAGGGAAACGTACTCACCTCTAAACGAAGGGGTTAATGAAACAGAAACGAGATGAACGGACGATGGTAACGAACAAACGAACGACTAACGATCAGCTTCGCGCGTAAGCTTCCCTCTCTTCTACCTCCTCATCTTCTCGCCGGAAAACTCCTCGCCTGGCTGCCTTGGTTGGCCGAACAAGAGAAGGGAAAGGGGAGGGTTGAGTGTGTGAGGGGAGTTACAAATGATGAAGGGAAATGAAGAGGGAAGAGGCTAATATATTGAGTGGAAATTAATAGAATAATAATGGGTATTAATTTTAAGGGGAAAATGAATGGTATGGAGGTGTGGGTGGTGTGAGAATTGATGTGGGGAGTTATCTCCCTAAATTCCACTCCGTTGTATAAAATCTGACCCAAACGGTACGCGCTTTCCCCCCCGAACAGGTCCGAATTGAAACCGATTGTATTTTCCGAAATAACCAGTCAAAACTAAATTTATGATATCTTCAAAATATTTTTCTAAAAACTTTATTTTCAAACTTCCGGATCCATCCCAATCAATAATTAATTTAATTACTTAGTTAATGTCGAGAGACCCGTTGTTAAAACATCTTTTATAATTAAAATACATTAACTTTGGAAATCATTTTAAGAGATCAAAATCTCAATATTTATTAATCAAAATAATGAGTCTCAATAAATAAATAATATTTATTTATTCAAAATACAGGCTAGCTAATAGGCCGGTTTGTAGGCCGTTACACACCGATATTCAACACAAGGTGTCTTGTGGTTCACTCAATGGTTTGATGCGAGAGGCCAGCACGGTTTTAGCAGCGTCTAAAAGTTCACTACCATCGTTCATCAAATGACGTACGAGATCGATAGTGATATACTCGATGAATACTTGAAGATGTCGGCTCGACATATCAGGTCATGGGTTTATAGATTTTCTAAAGCAATTATTCAAATTTATCCTAAGAGATATTTACGTAAGCCAAGGACGAGCGACTTTGAACAGTTACTACAAGGCATGCCTTTAAACATGCATGACTTTGTAGAACGGTATGCTTGGGAGCAACAATGGTACACATTGAGATTGAACCTGACTCGTCTTTTGAGCTTAGAGAGACGCTTTACAAGCCTAGATATTATCTTGCTGATGCAATATATCCAGATTATTCCACAATTATCAAGTCCCTCTTCGAAACGAATGAGTGGTAAACGCCAAACGTACAAAAAGGTCATGAACCAGCGAGAAAGGATATCAAAGAAGCCTTCGGCGTGTTAAAGGGTAAATGACACATTCTATATATATATCATCTGTCCAAGTGTTAATCTCAAACAAAAATGAGGAATATTATATACACATGTATTATTTTTCATAATATGATTATAGAGGACAACTAATTTGCAATTTTTCATTACAACCAAGAAATCAATGAAGAAAAGAAATAAAAAAACCGCCTTGAAATTCAAAGCCGAGAGATTCATAATGCACTTACGGCAAATTTTATTGAACATACTTTTAGTCACTCAAAGAATCAGTAATTTCTATTTAATGAATTATTTTCATTTATATTTAATTAATTAATGAATTTTGATTAATTTACTTTTACAAAATGTTCATTGAAAAAATAAAAATAAAGCTAAGGTTTGAAGACTCAGGACTTCAAAGCCATTTCCAGTGAAACCGTGAGATATGTTAAAGGGAGTTAAAGCTGATGTAACAGAGAGAAGGTTTGAAGCCCCATACTTCAAACGTATTTCCAGTGCCCTAAACCACTATGTATCCAACCAAAATCAAATTGAATGAAAAAAATTAGAGAAGCGATACAATATTATTATAACTTATATCCGAAATTCATTAATTGGATAAAAAATGACATATAAAGAATGTCACATGTCTATGTTGGGTTTGGGCTCCCAACTATGTGTTTTAAAAGCCCATTTGGAGTGTAATACTCAAGCCCAAATTTTAGTCCACTTTTGATGGCAAATTAAGGGTCTAATTGTTGAGGGGTACAGCTGGTTAGACATACCATTTACGCACAAAAAAAGGGGGAAAAAACAGCCGCAAGAGAGAGAGCAATCCGCTGCCTTTTTCTTCAAAACGCAAATCTGGTTTTTTGGTCAATCGGAGGTCCAAATCTTGTCCGATCGAGCTGAAATTTTAGGAGGAGTCTAAAGACTTGTGGAGCTTCAATCTGAACGGTGGAGATCGAATTTCAACGGTTCAATCTCAAGTTATGAGCTTCGCACCAGCTGCAGTTTTTTGGTGATTTGTTACACTTTTGTTCCTCTATTTTGATTCTAGTGCCTTCGTAGTGTTATTAAGGGCTAGATATCATTGTGGTGCTGTTATATTGTGCATTTGTACTCTCAATTTGGTGATAGTGGAGTTGGTTGGACCGAAGGGTCTCGTGGTTTTTTACTCTTTCACATTGAAAGGGTTTTCCACGTTAAAATTTCGTGCCTCGTATCGTTTTATTTTTCGTGATTGTATTATCTTGTTGCTTGGTGTTCTTTGGTGTGTTTGTTTGTTGCTCCTCATATATTCATTCAAGAGGGAAAGGTGTTGATCTTGGGCACTACACATTCATTTGTGTTCTTGCTTTCCCAACAAGTGGTATCAGAGCGCCGGAATAATCTGTTATTTGTCTTGATTGAATGATGGAGCTAAATTACAGCAGGATGATTAGTTTGAATGGCACAAATTATCACAAATGGAAGGGTAAAATGAAGGATTTACTCTTTGTGAAAAAGCTGCATCTACCAGTGTTTGCTAGTCAGAAGCCAGGGTCAAAAAGTGATGAAGAGTGCGCTTTCGAACATGAAATGGTTTGTGGTTTCATTCGTCAGTGGGTAGATGATAATGTCTTGAATCACATCTACAATGAATCTCATGCTAGAACTCTATGGGACAAACTTGAATCCTTGTATGCATCAAAAACAGGGAATAACAAGCTGTACTTGCTTAGGTAAGCTATGTATCTGAGATTCAAGGAAGGTTCTTCTATTTCTGACCACTTGAATGAATTTCAAGGGTGTTTTGATCAGTTGTCAGACATGGGCGTAAAGTTCGAGGATGAGATTTTGGGGCTTTGGTTGCTGAATACTTTGCCTAACTCTTGGGAAAATCTTCATGTGTCTTTGATTAGTTCTGCTCCCGGTGGTACAGTAACTATGGAGTATGTCAAAGCTGCCGTTCTGAATGAAGAAGTGAGACGTAGAACTCATGAGACATCTACTTCAAAATCTGATGTCTTGGTTACTGAAAATAGGGGGAGAAGTAAAAACAGAGATTATGGAGAATTCAAAAAGGGCAAGAGCAGGAGAAAGTCCAGATCAAAATACCAAAATGTTGAGTGCCACTATTGTCATAAAAAGGGGCATTTGATGAAAAATTTCTTCAAGCTGAAGAACAAAGACAAGAACAAGCCAGAAGGGAAAGATGGTGAAAATGATCGTCATACCACGACTTCGGGTGATCTGATAGTTGTTTCTGATAACGACTTGATTAATGTTGCCTCTGATGAATCAAGTTGGGTTATTGATAGTGGTGCCGCTTTCCATGTGACGTCAAGGAAAGATTTCTTCACATCTTATACTTCAGGTGATTATGGGGTATTGAAGATGGGTAATGATGGTCGTTCACAGGTTGTTGGCATTGGAGTTGTGGTCCTGGAAACAAAAACTGGGATGAAGTTAGTGTTGAAGAATGTCAGACATGCACCAGATATTCGCTTGAATTTGATATCTACTAGTGTCTTGGATGATGAAGGTTATATGAGTACCTTTGGTGATGGGCAATGCAAACTCACTAAGGGTTCTCTTATTGTGGCTCGTGGGAAGAAGTGTTCAGGTTTATACTGGACCAATGTTTTAGTCTCTATTGATTCTGTCAATGCAGTCGAGAGTGATAGTTCTTCAGAATTATGGCATAGAAGACTCAGTCACATCAGCGAGAAGGGTCTTGATTGTTTAGCCAAGAAGAATGTTCTTTCAGGGGTGAAAGATGCAAATTTAAAAAGGTGCAGTCACTGCTTGGCTGGGAAACAGAACAGAGTGTCCTTCAA